TACAATGCTCCGTTTTGAAATGGGCTATCCATCTCCGATGTATGCAGGCAGTGAAATGCCAAGGTAGGTGCCTGATCCCTACTTGCGATGTGATCCTTACCGCATTGATCTCACCTATTCGCTTATGTTTATCCCGATGTGTTCACTTTGGCTTTATGTTATTTATTCTAAATGTTGTTGCAAGACTTCAATTTTCATTCAACGTGATGAATATGCATGGTGTGATCCATCATTCACGTGCGAGCACAGCATTAGTATCAGTAAAACAAGTAGAAAACTCCAAAAAAGTATGTATTTCTAAAGCGGTTCAAAGTCCTGATTCAGTTTATGTAGAAGAATGCACACATAAAAATTCAGCTTCAGACATTCTTCCTTTCTACAATGATTCATCTCTTCACCCCCACAGATCTTTTGATTTTAACTTGTTATCTTCAGCCTTTGTTACTACAAACTCTGGTGTGCAACGAGGAGAGGAAGTCAATCAAACTGACCCGCATGGAGACTTTTACAGGGAATTTACTAAGCAGCCAAGTGATCGTTTAGTAATTAATGTTAGTGGTCTCCGATTCGAAACGCAGATCAAAACACTTAATCAATTTCCGAATACGCTTCTTGGAAGAGCTCAATCTAGGGATCGTTACTACGATCCAGTTCGAAATGAATACTTCTTTGATAGGAATCGGCCTAGCTTTGATGCTATTTTATATTACTATCAAAGTGGAGGACGTTTAAGACGCCCTGTAAATGTTCCCATTGATGTTTTTTCTGAAGAGATTAAATTTTACGATTTGGGTGAAGAAGCCATAGAGCGGTACCGAGAGGATGAAGGCTTTATAAAGGAAGAAGTAAGAGTCCTTCCAAATGACGAATTTCAACGGAAAGTCTGGCTCCTCTTCGAGTATCCTGAAAGCTCAACTGCCGCAAGAGTGATTGCCATCACCTCCGTTATTGTCATCGTATTGTCAATTGTCATATTCTGTGTTGAGACTCTACCCCATTATCGACACTATAGAGTAGAATCACCACAATCAGATTCCCATCTACCGACAATCGTCGAAGACGACTTGCCACAGTTAAACGAGCCATTTTTTATTATAGAAACAATGTGCATCATTTGGTTTACATTTGAACTTTTGGTGCGTTTTGCCTCGGCCCCACAAAAGTTAGTTTTTTTTGGAAATATTATGAATTTGATTGATATTGTATCCATAATACCATATTTCATCACTCTGGGAACTATTTTTGGAGATGACTCCAAAGGCCAAAACCAAGCTATGTCGCTTGCCATCCTCAGAGTCATTCGTCTGGTCCGAGTTTTCAGGATTTTTAAGCTATCCAGACACTCGAAAGGACTTCAAATTTTAGGTCAAACGTTGAAAGCTAGCATCCGAGAATTGGGCCTTTTGTGCTTTTTTTTGTTTATAAGTGTAATTCTTTTCTCTTCTGCTGTATATTTTGCCGAAGTGGATGCAGATAGTACATATTTTCGCAGCATACCAGATGCCTTTTGGTGGGCCGTCGTTACAATGACCACTGTAGGTTACGGCGATATGCGACCTGTGACAATGTGGGGAAAAATCGTCGGATCATTGTGTGCAATCGCTGGTGTCCTTACAATCGCCTTACCCGTTCCGGTTATTGTATCGAATTTTAATTACTTTTACCATCGTGACACAGAAAATGAGGACAAGCAAACTTACGTTCATATAACAAGTAGTAATATGATTTATCCAGGTTCTAGCGCATCTTTTGCGAGATCTTCCGCATCATCTTTTCATTCTAGCTTTAGTGAAGGAAGTCAGGACACCTTATCAAATGGCACTCTTCGATCATTGGACAGAACTAGTTTACCTTTTCCTTATCATGATAAGCCTAATTTGACGTCTTTGAATCTCAAACGGCGAACCAAAGCGAAGATAAACTGGCCTCATTTGTCTCAACCAAATATGGGCGATAAAGATTTTCCAACTGCATCGAATGAAAGAACAGATAGTGTGGCTCTGTCACCGATTATAGCAGATGAAGCAGATGTTCATCAAGGGCAAAATAGCCTTTCTCCTATAACTCAGAAGGTTGTCCCAGTTAAGCCATATAGATCATATGGAGGTACTGGTGGGAGCAGTGGAGTCAGTGTTCAACGGCATCATATCCAAGAATATCAAGAGACCATGCAGCAGCATGAAATGCAAACTCAGAAATTCAAGGATAGAATGTCTCAGCAACAAAATACCTCTTCGATCCAAGCGTATCAAATCGGAGTACCAGGTGCTTCTCGATAAAATTGACAAAAGGAGCTGGTTTATCCTTCAATTCGGTTTATAAACAAGTGTTAAATTTCGCCAATTGTGCTCTCTTTCCACCCTAACACAGATAACTTACCTTTGGTAATACCCCAATATGTAAATCTCTTGGCCAACGGATAAAAGCCATTGTCTTTCAAAACGAACTAGCAATAAAGACTCCCTTCTCTTTATATTTTGAAAGAAATTTGGTGAGTTGTGTATTTTTAAATTAGAGTTTGCTAATGAATGGGATAGTAGTGCAGAAATTTTATTTGGGGCTTGATCATTGTACTGAAATCAAGCCATTTTGTCTATTTTTTTACATAGTTTTCCCCCTGCCAAATTATCACTATTATGTTGAATTCAAGATTTGAGAGACTCTAGATAAAATTTAAGTTTTTTTCATTAGTGTTTGCTTATGTATTTTACAAAGCTTACGTTATTTTCCTACTCTTATCCTCCTTCGTCGTTAGATGATAACATTAAGGGACCTCAGCTCGTTAATATGGGATGCTTCAGATAACTAATTATAGGACAAATAAAAAACTTTTATATAGCAAATAGGGGTCAGAATACGCTGCTTATCGTTTACCACCCTGTACAATTCCCACTTTATTTGAACGTTTTTTATTTAGAAGGGATAAATTAAATGCTTTCTTCGTGATCGTCATGGTCTCGATAGTGAGAGATATTCAGAGTAAATTAGCTGTTGTCATTTGGATCAGTGGATGTTGTCACTCAGTGACATTATTTGAGCAAGTCAGGTTGATAAGTAGCTGATTTTCTTTTCTTCATGGATTCCGCAAACTAATGAAAAATTACTACTATTAATATAAGTTAGTTTAAAGCTTAGGTGGAATCTGGAATGGGTCTTCACTCTGAGGAACTATAAAACCCTAGATGCTAATTTATCAAGCAGCTGAAGAATTTTTCGTATTTGAAAATTGAGCCACAATAGGAAAATGCATAGATATTGAATTAAAAGCCCGAATAAGATCAGTTTAACGAGTACGAGTGATGTGATCAAGAGCAAAAGGGCGAATTTGCTAGTAGTTGGGTCAAATGGTTTGAAGACAGAGGGGAGGGGAAACCAGTTGGCACTGTGATTTGCCTTAGTGACTCTTCTCAAAAGGACCACTTATGATGTAGATCAGAAGATTAAAGGCATAAATCAGGATAGTGTGAATGACGAGAATATGTAAGGGTAAATGTACTAGGACAGGAAGAAACTTAGCATAAATATTC